TTTCAATTGAATTGCTCAGTTCAGAAGTAACTTGTTAGCTTTTGCACATGCATGGCTGATCTCTTTCAATCTTGGTTCTGTGTCCGCGACTGCTGTGTCTGTAACTGCTGTTTCTGCTGTGTTTACAACTGCTTTCTTTCTCATCTTTTCTGAAGCATTCTCCGGGATGCGCGGATGCAATTCATATAACAGGTAGAATGATAAATGCTTAGAGACTGCATGCTGTCAAATCTGCATGGTCAGTAGCACCTGCTCAAGATATTCATCTCATAGTCTTGTAGGCTTGCTCACTAGATATTTTATCAGCATGTTGCCTAAGATTTCATTTAAGTGTTTCATCTTCCCATTTGTCTGTGAATGATATAATGTTGTTCTACAATGTCTTATCTGTAACTGACTCATAAAATGCCTCATCACTTCTTCTATGAGATTCACACTGTTATCAGTTAGAATTTCACACAGCATTTCATAGTTGACATAGATCTCATCATGTAGAAACTTCATTATCACCTTCTCTATTGCCTCTGAAACTGCTTTTGTAACTGGTCAGTCAGTAGTGTAATCAATAGCAGTGATTATTCATTGATTTTCATTTAATGTTTGCAGTAATATATCTATGAGATTCATCTTTCATTATTTGAATGATTATATCATACACTTCATCTGATGTTGTACTTTCTTATATTCTAACCCTTTCTTAGATTCTTTTATAATCTGACAATTCAGACACTTGTGAGTGTATATCTGAATGTCCTTGATCATGCTTGATCAGTATGCTCTTGATTTGAGTATACTCATGAGTTCAGAGCTTTCTAAGTGACTGAATTTCTTGTGCATGTGAGTCATCAAGTCATATCTAAATAAAGGTTCTAGATAGGAAGCTTCTACATATTCTAGATCATAGTAAAGCACAACATCATTTTTCAATTTCTCTAACTTGAAGTTTGAAAGCATCTCTTCTACTACTTTCATGAGACACTTGTCATCTGACATCTTGTCATTCTCTAAGCAAGAGATCATAATGTTCACTTATTCTGATTCCTTGCATCTTCTCAGCACATTTAACACAAACATTCCTGGTACCTGGTTTGCAGGACTCTCATTCATGAAATTAAGTCTGTGACTGATTACATCAGACATCACAGTGTTCAATTCCTTTCAGTATTTGATATGAAGATTATACACTTAGAACTCTGAGATTCAATGTGCTAAGTGTTTGAAAGATTTTGTCATCAATTATAGATAGATAAGACTTTCATGATCTGTGATTACTGTTGTTATATACCTGTTATTGATATATCTATTCTATAACATCAGTGTATGCTTAATCACTAGTAATTTCTTTTCATACACTGAATAATTGAGCTCAGCACCTGATAGTTTTCTATCATCCTATATCATCAGATATAGCTTGCTATTCTTACTCATCTGTAGAAGAGTATCTCTGATAGCTCATTCAGATATATCTGTCTCAATATAGAAAGATTTATTATAATCTGATTGAATAAGTACTGAGAATGTTGTTACATGTTTTCTCAGTGTGAGAAAAGCCTCTTCACACATAGCATTTCAAATGATTGAATAAAACTTCTTCTTTTGCAGATTTACATCTGTTTCTCTTAAGAGATCTGAGAGTGATGCAGATATTCATGCAAAATTCTTGATAAATCTGTAGTAGTATGAGACTAACTTAAGAAACTGTTGTACATGATATATATTTCTCAGCTGCAGTCAATTTGCTATAACATTCAATTTCTCTAGAATAAGATATATACAGTCATCACTCACTACATGTTCTACAAACTTCAACTCTTTCATTTCAAACACACAATTGATTGATTTAGTATAGAGTTTATACTCTGTCAGAGTTATAAGCACTTTATTAAGATGCTTCAGATATTCATTGTATGAGTTTGAAAAGACTAGAATGTCATTGAGATATACAAGACATGAGGTTTCATTCTGTTTATAAAGAATTGTATTCATCATCATTTGAAAGATATCAGATATATTTATCAGACTCAATAACAGTATCAGAAATTTGAACTTTCTTCATTACATATTAAACACAGTTTGTGAGACTGACAGTTCATCTATATGAATCTGTCAGTATTCTGAGAGAAGATTGATCTTTGATAGATATCAGATGTTTTCAATTATATTCAACTGTTATTAAATCTATAGCAGTGAATATTCATTCTTGATTGTAAGCTTATTAAGTGCTTGATAATCAATACATATTCATCACTTCTCACCTGTCTTTTTCACAAATAGAACTGAAAAGCCTCATATGCTTGATGAGAATTATATGAGATTATATTCTAGAAGATTGATGATCTGATACTTCTGTTCTTCAAGATATGTTTGTGACAGAGAGTATGTATTCTGATTAACTGGTTTTGCATCTCTCATATCAATCTCATGTATGAATTCTCATTCTGACAGCAATTCTGATGAAAGATCTATTCAGAAGATCTTTTCATACTTCTTCAGAAGCTTCTTCATACACTTGTTCTTCTGCATATTCTTTATCTTGGTTTTCTCTGCTTCTGAGTTCTGTATGATATACAGAATGCTTTCAGATGAGGTCTTACAAATCATTCTCTTTGCTTATTAATGTGTAAGCAGATTTAACTCTTCTATATCAGAGATGTGAAATATCCTTCTCATATCAGTTAATAGAATTGTATGAATCATTTTCTTCCTATCAGTCAATTATATATGACATGTACATCATTGAATCTGCAGATTGAACCTTTGAAACTAATTAAGTCTGAGAATAAGATTGTATTTCATGTTCTGCAGCTCTCATACTTAAATATAGCAAGATCATTCTCTGAAGTGCAAAGAAACTCTTACTTTTACAGATAATATCTAATATCAGTTATCAGATAATCTTATGTATCAGAGATTCTTCACTCAGCAGACTTCTTTCAATCTTCAGATTATATAATTATCAATATATTATATAGAAGCTTCTGTATCTGTTAACACTTTTACAGTCATCTCTCAATTCTTACTCAAGTGTCTCTTATATATTAACATTTCAGATCTTAAGACATTGAGATGAGTGTTCACTTTCTTACCTGTACTTCATTCAGAAGCCTGCTTTCTCTTTGTATTTACAGAATTCAGAGAGTCATCTAATACAGGCATCTCTTTCACTTTGAAGACTTTTCATAGAATATCAGTGAGTGTCTCTGAGCTCACTGATTCTGCTAGTTTTTTAACTCTCTTACTTCTCTTGACTATGCATGCTGAGTGCAATCTTTTGCATCATGATTTTGATATCTGCAGTTAAAGCAAGCTCAATACTTATAATATCAAGATTTTCACTCAGAGAATTTCTTTTTCAGAGAATTCAGTGCTTTAGTAATAGCATTCAGATCTAGATTCATTGCATCTGAGTGTATAACTTATATTATAGAAGTCTGATTATCTGTTCTTCACTGAGACATACTTAATTACAGTATTTTCTGTCACAATTGACTCACTTATTTTCATATAATAAGAATATTATATGCTTTCTTCACTGTGTCTGACTGTGAGATTAAGCATTTTCATTTCACTCTCAACTTAAGTGTAAGATCATGAATGAAGATCTATAAATAGAAAGATATTAAAAGCTCTTTATTCAACATAAGATAGTGTAAGCTGAAGTGTGTGAAGTATAATATAAGATCACTCACTTATCTACACTCTGTGAAGTGTTTATAATACTTATCTTATACATTCACTTTCTCAAAGTTATGCAACATTCATTTAGAAACCTTATTTCATATTTATAAGAATGAATATTACTTCAGATCTGTGAGATTCATCTTTTCATTAATTATTTACAATGACTTCACTTTTTCATGTAGAAACATAGCAGATCTTAAGACTTGTTAAAATTTCATTGACTGTCTGTCTGTGAGTTTATATTCAATCTGATAATATAATTATATCTGACTTAGTCAGCTGATTACAGCATTATTTTTTCAGTCACTATTAAAACTTGATAGCTTCAGCAGATCTTTCAGCTTGATGTATCTCATACTCAGATTCTTATTCTGCACAGCAGTCTCTGATAATATGTATGCTTCTGAAGAGATCATGAATAATCATAGTAAGATCTTCAGATTCAGTATAATTATCTATCTATGTAAACATTTGATCTTCTACTGCAGATCTAAGATCTGATTTTCTCTATTCTTATTAATGATGATGATTGCATCAGTGAAGCTCTTCATAGTGAATGCTTGATCTGCAGCAAATGCTAATTATTGTTTGACTTTTATCTCAGTCTGTCACTGTGTACACAAGGCCTTGATCTTGTTTAGAATCCTTGTACATGTGCAGAGCTTCAATTCCAGTTCAGTGATCTCAGCTACTTTTCTTACTGCTTTGAGTAAACCCTCTGAAAGGTTCTGCATATCTTTCAGTTCAGATAGCAGAGAAGAATGTTGTTTGTATTAGCTAGAGAAGATATTCATTTCAGTGATTTCTCATTGATTGTACAATGTCTATCATTATATCACTGTATTATTATATGATTTCTGTTATCATTGTATAACTCCGGTGATAGCCACCCCTCTCTTTTATCCTTCTTTTGAGTAGGGAGTGAAATCCTTTGAATCTCGTTCACTGCTCTCATCCTCTTTCTCACACCTCATCTGTTCGCATAGATGGCATTCGCCTGGGTGTGAAGTTTTCCCTTAACAAGTGAAGCAGCATTAATCAGATGCTCTTCCACTCATCACTCTTTATACACTATCTTTTGAGATGTTCTAGAACCACACTGGCATGATAACTACAAATTGCTTCATAGATAGAATTATCATGCTCTGGAGAAGCCTGCGCTTCTCACTGGTTTTTAGACATACTATCAGATGTGATTCAAAGGTTGCTGAAGCCAGTGTACAATTACAGGCGTACGCCGGCTTCTTATATATTGAATCTTATACACTAAATTAATTAGTGACTGCTATGGCCCCCTTTACATTCGTACGCTGACTTATTAACTATATTTTTCACAGACACAACCGTTCCACCACGAACTCGCTCGATTTTTCGAATAAGAACCCGCCGATAGATCCATCGAAAAGCCCTCGATCATACGAGCATTTTGACCCCATCGCCGACCGCATACCCCGTGTGGTGGTGGAGTTATCCAGCCAAATGTGAACCAGACGTCGTTCGGAACTCCTGCGTGGGATTATCCCCCATTCTCCCCTACCACACCACAACCCCGGGCCAAATTGCCATACAAATTGTAAGGTGAAGAGACCTAGCCATATGCACCAATCTTCTCGATTTTGGAAGATCCCCGATCTGTAGTTGTGGAGATATCTGAGGAGCGACCTCCGCGAAAACCCTGTCCATCTTTGATGTTCCAAAACACCAACGCCAAGTCCCACCCTCGTACTGCCCTTCCTAATCTGGCCCATCCCCAGCAGAAAAATACAAAAAGATACCTCGGCGATAATATCAAGCACATAATCAACAGCCACTTCTGAAGTGCAACCTCCGCAGTCTGTCTTCAGTGTATCTAGACATCAATGCCAAGTCTCACCCTCGTACCACCCCTCTCAATCTGGCCCATCCCCAACAGAAAAGTACAAAAAGATACCTCAGCAACTGTACTCAATACATAATCAGCAGATACAACAACTATAAAATCAGTATATCTCAAGATCTGACTGAGCCTTTGATCCCTGCACAGTAAGATATATTAAATCTAGTTTTAATATCTCAATATTCAATAGATTCTGCAAGGGATTGAGAACAGCAACACTAGGTTTCTATTGAATTTGAGAATTAACTCTATATTGATATAATCATTGACAAAGTCTTCTATTTTGAGATATAAATAACCAGTTCCTCTACATCTCACTGGCAATATTTATATTATTATATAGAAACAGACTTATATTCTCTATAATATCAAGACCCTGAAGAGGGAAAGTCTTGATAGAGAGTATACAGTAGTGCATATCTTAGCAGTTTCTATCTCATTCTTCTGCAGCAGTTAATGCAAAAAAAAGATCTTAGAAATAGTTTTTTACTTCTCTTGAAAAAAGTAAGATGTTTTTCTCTGAGTTTTACACAATATTCTTACAAAGAATTAAAAACAGAGTTGTTTTCTGTCATAATTTCATATTCTTTTAAGTAAGAATTACTTTTTCAGTGACTGAAGAGCTTTCATTAATACTTAATTCTTTTTTACACTCTTTATTAACTGATTTGAGTTGCACACTTGTTGTGTGAGGAGAATTGAATGATTTAGAATAAAATTGAATAGTTTTAATCAATTTCTCTACAAAAAATTGATTTATTTTTTGTCAGTTTTTCTCTCAAAAACTGTCATATTATCTGATTTATTATCAATTGATATCATACTTTTCCTCACTGTATTCTAAGAAAGAGATTGTAAAGATTTTATTGATTTATCTTAAAAATCAATTTTAGTTTATTAGATTCTCTTCAAAAATCTAACCTAGTTACTGAACTAGTGTGAAAAAAATCAGGTGTTTTATACACAAAAGTCTTTTATTCTTCTTTTGAAACAGTCTGATCAACTTTTCAATTGAAAACAGACTTAGAAATATCTCAATTGAAACAGTCTGACCAACTTTTCATTGAGTGAAAACAATGAGTTTAAAAATACACTCAGTTGATGTGGAAAAAGATGCTTTCTCAAATGCTATTCCTGAGATTGAAATTCTGAAGAGAAGAAAGAAAGAAGAAATAGAGAAACAACAAGTTCTTGAAATACAGGAACTTGAAAAAGCAAGCAAGATTCTTGAAAAGCAGTGTCTGAGTGAGATGAATGAAGAAGTTCTGTTAATTCTTCATACTCAGGCTAGACAACTACAGAAGATGATCAAGTTCAAACTTGAAATCTCAAACACAGTTCAAAAAACCTTGAAAATTCCTAGTACAATCACTGACTCTTCATCTTGCTCTTCTTCTTTCTTTTTTCCTACTTCTTCTTCTTCTTTGAATCAGAAGAAAACATATGCTCAAGCAGCTGAATCTGCTGTCTCTAAACCTGCTATCTCAAAACCTGCTCAAAATCCTGAGAAAACTGAGAAGAATACTGCTCATGCCTCTATTCATAGAAAAGTGGAAAAGAAAATGCAAAAAGAGAAAAACTTCCAAATCTTCAGAAATAGAAGACTTATTCTCAAAGTCTCAAACCAGAACATTCTGCAAAGAAACAAGCTAAACTCAAATCTCATTTTCAGAATCAGAAATGAAATTAATCAGCAGTTCTTTTCTCAGTTGATAACTGATATTGAAGTTCAAAAATCAGTTATAGCTTCAATTGAGTTATCATTCTTTGAAAACTTCATCATTCTGACTACAATGCCTGAATTCAGTGCTGAATTCCTTATTCAGAATGAGAATCTCTGAAAGTCAGCAGTAGAATCTTTGCTAAACACAACAATTCTATCTGAAAGAGATGAAAAGTGAGACAAATTCATTCTTCATAATATTTCAGTTGAAATTTTTGACTGTGAAGAAGGAATGCTACTTCTCAAAAATGAATTGAAAGAATACAACTCTATTCAACTGAGAAAGGAGCCTGTATGACTAAATTCAATTGAGTTCAGATAAAGCAGGAGAAATGCCTCTGTTCTAGTATATACAAAAACACTTGAACAGTCAAAGATCTCTGAAGTAAGAGTAACAGGTTTGAAAATGAGAGTTCATGAATACAAAGACTCAAGAATGAATCTCAAAGCTCAAATACAGTGTTCAAACTGTCAAAGATATGGACACTTTGCAATCTCATGTTTTAGAGACTCAAAATGTGCATTCTGTGCCAGAGATCACAAAACTAGTGAGCATAAATGTGAAACATGCTCAAAAAGAGGTAAAATTTGTCAATATACTCTGCTTAAGTGCTCTAATTGCAAAGAAAAACATGCATCTAGCTTAAAAGAATGTATGTTTGCTTCTAGAACTCAAAAGAACTGGAGAAAAGATGAAGCTCAAAGTCAATCTAGAACTGAAGAGAAGAGTCAAGTCAGTAGACTTACAACTGCAAGCTCAAAAAGAAGAAACTCTCAACTATCTAAGTCTTCAAACTTCAATTCTTCAGCTAAATGTAAACAGAATTTGAATCCTCAAACTCCTGTTAAGATTAGAGAATTGAGAAATGACTCTGATGAGAAACTAGATATAATGCAAGCAGTTGAGATTCCTACTTTTCAGAACAGTTATAATCTACTATCTGATGATAGTGATTAGATTCTACTCTACTCTCTTTTAGTATGAATATATAACAAAAACAACAAAAAAAGTTTAAAAACTCTTTAAAAATCACATTTATTCAAAATAATGTAAATAGAAACTCAAATTGTATTTATTCTTGTCTTCAAATTGCATTTGAATAAAAAGTTGATTTTATACTACTTCAGGAGCCGAATTTTGATGCTGAGCAAAAATAGATAATTTCTCATTCAAGCTACTACTGCTTTTTACCTCAAAAGTCTGAGATAAAGTCAAGAGTAGTAATCTATGAAAGAAAGATATCAAGATATTAATTTAATCTAAGATTTGATATCATGTCTGACCCTGATATTCTGGTGGGTGATATTATAGATAAAGAAAATGAGTTTGATACTATACAGCTCATAAATATCTATAATGAAAAGTCATTGAAGAAAAATAACAATATCTGAACAATTGATAGAGAATTTCTAAACATAACTTCATCAAGAAACTCTATAATTGCAGGAGATTTCAATGCACATCATCCCTGATGAAATTCAGAATGCAAGAGAGCAGTGAGAGCTGATAATCTGATTGAATGAACCTTTGAGCATTCAATAGATTTGGTTAATAAGTCTGATCAACAAACATTCTTTAGAAAAGGCATGAAACAGAAGTCTATTATAGATCTAACCTTCATGTCACAAAATCTAATGAAAAGAAGACTTGTAAACTGGTTTATTGATTCAAATGAGACATCAGAATCAGGTCATGAGATTATTCAATTTGATATTGAACTGAGTGAAAAACAAATGAGTGAAAATCCTCTTCTCTCTAATCAGTATAACTTTGAAAAAGCTGATTAGAAAGCAGTTGAAGAAAGCATAAAACTGTTAAAATCTGAAAGACAGAATGAGCTATATTGGAATTCTGGTCAAGATATCTCAAATGAAATGCTTGAGAATAGAGTGAAGCTTATTACATCTATTATTCTAACAAGTGTTAGAGATAATATTTCAAAAAGAAAATCTTCTGAGTATTCAAAACCTTGATAAAATGAGAATATCTCATTTAAAAGAAAAGAATTAGCTACTGCTAGAAGAGATTGAAAGAATGATGTAATATCTGATGAAGAGTTCAAAGCTGTCAGAAATGAATATTTTTCAGATATTAAAAGAGCTAAAACAGACTGCTGGAATAAATTTCTTAAAGAAGCACAAGAGAAGAAAGTTTTTAAAGCTTTTAACTATACTAAAACAAGAAGTGTAGCAAAACTTCCAGTCTTAGAATATGAGTTTCAGAATGAATCATATACAGCAAACTCTTTTGAGAAAAAATGTCAAGCTTTCATGAGAATTCTCTTTCAGAACTCACCAGATTCAGATTCAGATTCAGAGAAAGAGAATATATCACTTCTCAACTACATTGATGAAAATGACTGGGAATGGCCTGATCTTACACAAGATGAATTAGAGTCAGCTATCTTCTCAAGTTCTGTTAAAACTGCTGCAGGTCCTGATTCAATTAATCACTTGATTATTCAAAATACATATTCCTACTTAAAGAATGAATATTTTGAGCTCTTTTTCAATCTCTTGAAAAATAAATATTATTCTGAATGCTGGAGAGAAGCCACTGAAGTGATTCTTGCAAAACCTAATAGAAAAACTTCAATTTCTAAGTCATATAGAGTAATATCTCTATTGAACTGCCTAGAAAAGGTTTTAGAAAAGATAATAGCTACTTGACTATCTTTTATAAGCTCTATAGATGATTCTCTTTTATTCAGTGAACAAATGAGAGATAGAAAACAGTGTTCTGCAATTGACACTTTTCTCTCAGTTGTTCATGATATTCAAATAACAAAGCATGAGAGTCTGGTCTCAACTGCAGTTTTTGTTGATATAAAAAAGGCATTTGATCATGTTTCAAAGTCAAAGTTAATTCAGACATTGAAGATATTAAAACTGTCACTTTCTCTAATAAAATGAGTTAACTGTTTTATATCTAAAAGACTTATACAACTCTTCTTTGATGAAATGAAATAAGACAAGACTGAGATAAAAATAGAAGTACCACAGGAATCTTCAATCTCACTCATTTTATTTGTAATATACACTGCATATCTATTCAAAAATAGAAATATGAGAATAGTGCAATCTCCAAGTTATGTGGATGATATTGATCTAGTTTACAGCTCAAAAACTATCAAAGAGAATTTGAAAGTAATTGAAGAAGCTGCAAAGGAAATCTTTGTTAGAGTAGATATCAATCAAATTCAATTTGATATGAATAAAACTGAGTTAATTCATTTCTTTTCTAGATTCAATGAGAAAGAACTATCTCTAACTCTTTTAAATAGAGTGATT